GGGGGGGGGGGGGGGGGGGGGGGGGGGGGTAAGTACAAAAGCTGTTACTGGGGTACCTTTTCAAAAAGTACTAAAATGAGGGCATTTACCAGAGTTAAGATTGATATTGCAATTCATCTGATTGCCAAATCCTGGATACTTGGTCCATCCAGACATGAGGTCTTGTTTGGAGGAGGGTAGCACCACTGTGCCCATGTCAGGGTGATCGTTGTGGAGCAAGTTTAACAGAGAGTTAGAGTACTGGTGTTCTGCCACCATCAAACCATCAGAGGATACAGCTGAGGGATACATCATGGGGGGCAGAGCGAGACTCAATCCCTGCCTAGAATCCCCTGACCACAGAGCAGCACTGTTTGCAGGGTGATCTGGTGGCATATGATGGTTTGATTGAGACTCGCTGCTTGTTCCTTCCCGGAGATGTTCTGGAGGAAACAAGGGCTGAAACCTGGTTTGTGACTGTGCTTCCCACTGACTTGAACCAAGTCCATCTTAGGGGGAAAAACACAGGAATTGTTTAAATTCATTTAACAAATCAAATATTTTGTGTAAAAGCAAAATTTGAGAGAAACAGTTACTTGTTTGAGCAGCTTTATGGTTTCCTTTGATTTTGGAGCGTTCTCCCTTCGGTTTAGCTGCTTGACTCAGAGCACGGGAGAAATGTTCATCCACCATGCTGTTGATGTCTCCTTTGAAGTAAGTGAGAAGGACACTACTGGACTCCTCCTTAGTCTTCTTAGCCACAGAGTTCCCTAGATCCTCCTCCATCACTGATCTAGATACAGCAGAAAGAGTGTGCAATGCATCATTTATCCATCTATCCTGCAGTGTTGATGAATTATTGTATACATTGACCATAATGTCATGTCTTCTAATTCTAATGTGAAACTGCCTTAACATCCCATCACTTTATGACATTGTTTGTATGGTATTGATGAATGAAAGGCAAGGCAAGGCAAGTTTATTTATATAGCACATTTTATACACAATGGTAATTCAAAGTGCTTTACATAAAAGAAAAGAAAAAAAATAATCACAACAATAAAACAAGGAATTTAAAAACTTTGAAAATGATTTTAAAAAAATTTGATTTACGAGGTTTAAAATGAATTTAAACCGGTTAAGAATAGAAAACGATTATACATAAAATATAGTGCAATCAGTTCGGACATTGCACAGTGCTCATTCAATAAATGCACAGCTAAACAGATGAGTTTTGAGTCTGCATTTAAATGTGACTAATGTTTTAGCACATCTGATCTCTTCTGGAAGCTGATTCCAACTGTGGGCGGCATAATAACTAAAAACGGACTCCCCTTGTTTTATGTTTGTTTACCTGAAGAAAGTTCTGGCACATCCAACTGTTAATTTCATCAATGCATTGGCAGAGGGAGTCAATGGGGCTGTAGTCATTTGGAGATAAAGCTAGGTAAATCTGGGTATCATCTGCATAGCTGTGATAGACAATTTGGTTCTATCCTTTTGAAAGGATATAACGATACAACATTACAGCACAACTTAAATGTTGATGATTAAAATTGATTGCTAGAGAATATATATATATATATATATATATATATATATATATATATATATATATACGACTTAATT